GATTTTGTTAATTTGCGAGTTCACACTCTGCCATTTGGTAAGTTTGGATAAAGTTTTGTCTATCTTGTTGATTTTCTCGAAGAACCAACTCTTTGTTATGTTGATTCTTTGTATTGTTTTCCTAGTTTCTACTTTATTGATTTCAGCCCTCAATTTGATTATTTCCTGGTGTCCTCACCTCTGATGTGAGTTTGCTTCTTTTTACTCTAGAGCTTTCAGTTGTGCTGTTAATTCTCTAGTGTGACTATTCTGCAGTTTCTTAATGTGGACACTTAGTACTATGAACTTTCATCTTAACACTTTATTCAAAGTGTCCCATAAATTTGCGTATGTTGTGTCTTAACTTTCATTGAATTCTAGGAAGTCTTTAATTTCTTTTTTATTTCTTCCTTGACCCAGGAATGGTGCAATTGTGCATTATTCAATTTCCATGAGTTTGTAAGTTTTCTGCAATTTGTGTTGTTGTTGAATTCTAACTTTTAAACATGGTGGTCTGATAAGATTCATGCAGTTATTCCAATTTTTTGTACCTGCTGAGGTTTGCTAAGTATGTGACTGAATTTTAAGAAGGTTCCATGTGGTGCTAAGAAGAAGGTATATTCTTTTGTGTTTGGATGGAATGTTTTATAGATGTCTTTTAAATCCAATTGGATCATAACTTCTATTAGTTCCTTTGGTTCATTGTTATATTTCTGTCTCATGGTCCTGTCTAGTGGAGAGAGTGGGGTATTGAAGTCTCCCACTGAAAGTGATTGAGATTTTATGTGTGGTCTGAGTTAGTAATGTTTCTTTTACGAATGTGGATGCCTTTGTATTTGAGACATAGATGTTCAGAATTGAGACTTCATCTTTGTCAATTTATCCTGTGGTGAATATGAAATGACCTCCTATATATGTTTTGTTATCTTTAGTTTAAAGTCTGATTTGTTAGATATTAGTATTGCTACACCCACTTGTTTCTTGGGTCCATTTTATTGGAAAATCTTTTCCCAACCCTTAACTCTGAGGTAACATCTGTCTTTGAAGCAGAGGTGTGCTTCTTGTATGCAGCAGAAGGATAGATTCTGACTTGGAATACATTCTGTTAGCCTATGTCTTTTTATGGGCAAGTTAAGACCATTTCTATTGTGGGATATTAATGACCATTTATTGTTCATTCTTCTTTGTTTTGGATTTTTTAGTGGTAATGGAACTGTGTGTGGATTTTCACCCCTTTTTTGTTTTGACTCTTGATAATGTGGTATTATCTATTGCCTACATTTTTGTGGGTATAGTCAACTTCCTCGTTTTGGAGTTTTCCTTCCAGAACTTTCTGTAGGGCTGGGTTAGTGGATATGCATTGTTTATATCTCGTTTTGTCATGGAATATCTTGATTTCTCCATTTATAGTGATTGAAAGCTTTCCTCAGTATAGAAGTCTGGACTGGCATCAGTGGTCTCTTAGTGTTGGTAGAATATCTATCCAATACCTTCTGGCATTCACAGTTTCCATGGAGAAGTCAGGTGTGATTCTGATAGGTTTGCCTTTATATGCTATTTGACCTTTTTCCTTAGCTGCTCTTAATATTATTTCTTTACTCTGTGTGTTTGGGGTTTTGATTATTATGTGGTGAGGGGACTTTTTTGTGGTCCACCCTATTTGGTGTTCTGTTAGCTTCTTGTACTTTCATCGGCATGTCTTTCTTCATGTTAGGATAGTTTTCTTCTATGATTTTGTTGAATATGTTTTCTGCCCCTTTAAAGTGGGTTTCTTCACCTACTTCTATACCTATTATTCCAAGGTTGAGCCTTTTCACAGTGTCCTATATTTTCTGGATATTTTGTGTTAGGGATTTGATGGACTGAAGGTTTTCTTTGGTCAATGAATCTTTTTCTCCTAGTGTATCTTCAACAACTTAGATACTCTCTTCCATTTTTCATTTCTTGTATTCTGTTGGTTATGCTTGCATTGTAGCACCTGACTATTTACCCAGCTTTTCTATTTCCAGCATCCACTCAGACTGTGTTTTTTATTGTCTCTATTTCAGCTTTTAACCGTTGCACTATATGTATTGTTTCTTCCAATTTTTGCTTTGTCTTTTCCTCCATTTCTCCAATTTTTTGATTCGTTTTTTCTTCCATTTCTTTAAGGGATTTTCTCATATCCTCTTTGAGGGCCTCTGTCATTTTCTTGAAGTTGTTTTTAAGGTCATTCTCTTCTGTTTCATCTTCATTGGGATGTTCATGTCTTGCTGGTGTAGAGTCTCTATATTCTCTCAGTATCATATTGGCTTTTCTGTTGCTGAGTGTTTTTTTATATTGTCTCCTTCCCATCCCTTCCAATGGGCACCGAAGGAGTCTCTTCCTCTCCTGGTGAGTATGGGACCAAGGTTTCCATCTGGTGGGTGCAAGCAGCTCCATTACTCTGGTGACTCTCCTCTTCATGTGGATGTCGGTGGTCCTATTCCTGGGGCCTAGCAATCTGATGGTGGGCTGGACCCTGTTGGGATGGGATCTGTAGTATGCAGTCCCCAGTCCCCAACTGGTTCCAAACAGGGAACTGGAAGGCAGGCCTGAGACAGGCCTAGGCTTTCCTAGTCCTGTGGGTGGAGAAAGGGACTAGGATGCTGGAAGTCTCTGGGAGGGTCGGATTTCGCCGGGATGGGATCCACAGGGTGCAATCCTCAGGCCTCAGGTGGTTCATCAACTAACTTTATTTATAATGCTCCCCCAATACTCTTATGTCATCAGAAACATTTTTTCGTACCTTATACCCTACACTAGCATAGCACTTGCTACATAGTAAGTACCCAATTAATGAGTGTATTAAATGAATGAACTGGGTGTCAGTAGATCTAAGGTCTAATTTCATTTTGATCACTAGCCTGTTAAGTAACTCGAACTAGCCACTTCCCCTATCTGGGATTCATTTTGCCCTGCTCTATGGTGAGATTACAGTGTGCACATTAATTCTTTACATTCTTATAGCTCATAGAAGGTAAGTAATTTGTCCAGTTAAAACTACTACCAAATTAGAAAGCAGCAATTTTACACCCTTCCATTTTATCCCAAATCCCATGTGCCTACTAAATGTAACACTGTACTTCTTAAAATGTGCTGAAATACCATTCTAAGTAGAAACCAGTCCTACTCCTCACTTTCCTTGATAAATATCATCTCATTATTTGATTTCCAAATTTATTGTCTGTTTGTAAATAATATTTTAGTAAATCCTTCCCCAATCATCATAGAACAGACTCATTTATATCCTATATCAAATCTTTGGCCATTCTAGATTTGTTTTATTTGTTTGATACAGGGTCTTACTCTGTGGCCAAGGCTATAAGTGAACTTGCAATCCTGCATCAGCTTCCCAAGTACTAGGATTACAGGAGTGTGCAACTAACTACACCTTATATCTGTCTGTTCTACCTCTTTAGCAAAAAGATTGTGTTTCTTTACTGGTGCTGTTTCTGTTTAGGTCATGTCCCCAAACCTCTAGTTTGTCTACTCTAATCTGCTTTTCATACTGAACCCAAGTAGATGATCTGGAAATATATATTTGACAATGCTTCCTTTCTGCCTAGCAGAGGTAATGTTCATATTCTTAAGTGTGACATTTGGGCCTTAATGACATACCACCAAACTATCATAAATCAATTAAATTGATATCTAGCTTCTCGCATATTTTATAATAAATGCTCAAGACAAACTGAGCTTATTATTTGCTTTTAAAGGATGTTTTGTTTTAAAGTTATCTTTCATTTTTGAAGTTATAATATATTTACATCATTTTCCATTTTCTTTCTTTCATAGCCTCTCTTTCAAATACATCGCCTCCTATTCCATTAATTATTTTTACATTCATATACTCAGTCTTTATCATGGAATATTTTCTTATTAAGCATGATTTTTTTTACTCCTTCAAGCTATTGTTTGTCTGAACAATTTTGATTCATCTGTACCCTCCACCCACTTCTCAGCCAGAGCTCAATAATTAACTCTAAATGATCATTACAATAGTTATAGATAAATGAAAATAAACTAAAACAGTAATTACTTAAGATTTCTTGTCTGGTTAATGTTTGAATGTTCCCATTATCTTATTACAAAAAAAAACAGTTCCAATAAGGTCCCTGTGTTATCATTGGTGAATCCACCTCTCCAATGTCTCCTTTTGCTGAACAGAGACAGTATGCTTAACTACCGAGCTCTAATACAGCTTTATTTACATGTCTGATGTTATTTTTTGTGTGTTACTGAGAATGAAACCTACAACCTTGCACACTCTTAAATTTCTTGGTATTAATGAAGGTGATAACTTCAATAGTAGACATTATTAATCTGGGCATTTGTGGATTGTATCTGGAAGCAGTGAATAACTTAAAGTTAATTTTCAAAATTTTAAATACGTGTGTGGGCTTATTTTTCTAGAAAAAGATTTTCTGGCTGTTATTGTGTTCTTTGAAGCTTTAACCATATTCAAAATCACTTAAAAGCTTATTCTAATGGGCATAGGAAATTATGGATCACAAAGGCCAAAGAAAGAATGTAAATTGGGTATTTGAGGATATCTTTATATGGATGGAGAAAGAAATTAAATTCTGTTAGGCTTGTTAACTTGAAATTTGAGGAACCTTAAAAATTGCTTTTGAAAGAACTACTTGAGAATTAGTTGATGCATTTATTTGGAAAGAGTAAATTATGCAATTGATTGGGCACTCTGTCCTTTTTGAATTGCATCCCCTTGAATAAAGCAGCTTGGCATACTAGAGTTTATTCAGTTGTGTTGGTAAAAGTCAGCTGAAAATCTTAAATTGAACCTCATTTGAATGAGACCTGTGACTCCATACAAATTGGGTGGGGTGGAGACTGTTCTTGTGGGTTGTAGTCAGTCTGTACTATAGTAGTAACAATTTTGAAAATGTGTCCAGATTTTCAAAGTTAAGTATTTATATGTGCATCAAAACAAAATGATTTTGAATCATTTAACTTTCTTCTTTGTACCAACTTTTTTTCAGATGAAACCCAGCGTCAAACTCCTAATGGTACAATCACTAGCAACCTGGATCCCCCCAAGCTACCGCAGCACCTCAAACTACCCATTCAGAAAAGTGGGGAAACTGACCCTGGAAGAAAGTCTCCGAACAGACCTGTTTCTGACTGCCAATCAGAGCCCTGCTCAGAGGTGGATGTGGGGAAGTTGGTATTTAGGATGCAGGATGGAGGGACCAAGGCTACTCCAAAGGCAACCAATGGACCTGTGCCAGGCTCTGGTCCCACAAAGACCCCCTCTTTCCATATAAAGAGACCAGCTCCCCGACCAGTGGCTCACCACAAGGAAGGTAAATGTTTAGGAATCTTATGAGAGGCAGAACTGAACCAAGCTCCTTTCACCTTGGAAACTCTCTAGGGCCAGATGTATATTCCTTCCTTGCTCTCGCCCTCCTTCTCTCCCTCCTGTGACACTTCCTCCCATTCCTTGCTTTTTTAATTATAATTTTTTAAATTAGCTTACGAAGTAATTAATAGGGTTCACTATGAGATTTTAATATACTTTCACTTTAGTTGATTCTCATCCCCCATTCCTTGATTCCCCTTTCTGTGCTGTGTATTTTTACTGTCAGCATTCTCCCTTCCACTTTGTTCTATTGTCTTCCCTACCTGCTCCCTTAGAGCCTCTTTTGCTTCCCAGTCACATGGGTCTCTTTCTAGTTTCCTGTCCTTTTCTCATATTTACTACCACTTGTGTAGGTATATTTTACAGTTGGAACTAAGATATGCATATGAGAGATAATACACTAAAGCTGTCTTTCTGTGCCTGTGTTAACTGGCTTAAAATAATTTGTTTTTATTTTCATCCATTTTCCTGGCGAATTTCATTTTTCTTCACGGACAACTAAAATTCCTTTGTGATAGGTACCACATTTTCATTACCTATTTATGTATTGATGAACATCTGGGCCTAGCTGTTATGAATAGAGATGTAGTGTACATGGATGTACAACAAATAATGTGGCAGGATAGAGAGTGATTTGAGATTATGCTCTAGAGTGGTATAGCTGGGTAAAAAGGAAGTTCTGTTTTTGGGTTTATAGAGGCCTCCACACTACTTTCCATAGTGACTTCATCAGCTTACACTCCTACCAGTAGTATGTAAGTGGTCCTCTTTCCCCATGTTGCTTTCTTGATGCCACTTGTTCTCACTGAGTGAGGTGGGATCTCAACATTGTTTTAATTTGCAATTCTTTGATGGATAGAGATGCTGAACATTTTAAAATATTTTTACTCACCATTTGTAATTCTTCCTTTAAGAAGTATCCTGTCTTAGTCACTGTTCAGTTGCTAAAAAAGAGACACCATCACCAAGACACCTCTTACAAAGAAAGTGTTTAATTGGGGGCTTCCTTACAGGTTCAGAGGTTTAGTTCGTTATCGGCAAGGCAGCATGCAAGCAGACATGGCACTGGCAGAGTAGCTGAGAGTTCTACATCCTGATCCATAAGCAGAGAGGGAGACTGGGCCTGACGAGCTATTTAAACATCAAAGTCCAGCCACAGTGACACGTGTATCTTCCAACAAGGTCACACCTCCTAATCTTTTAAATCCTTTCCAATAGTTCCATACCCTAGTGATTAACATTCAAAAAAATGAGCCCATACGGGTCATTCTTATTCCAAGGACCACAGTGTCTTTTCAGATTGTTGGCCCATATTCTACTTGATAATTGTTTCTTTTAAAGTTCTAAAACTATTTATTATAATTTAATTAATATATATTACATTATTAATATATATTATATTAACTCCTTGTATGTTGTCTAGCTGATAAAGACTTTCCCCCATTCTCTAGACTTTTCATTGTCGTTGTTGTTGTTTGTATACAGAAGCTCTTAAACTCATGTGATCTACTTGTCAATTCTTTCACTATTTCCTGTTCAGGGATTTGTTGTCTGTAGCTACATCCTTAAGTTTTTACCCTTTGTTTCAGTGTTTCCAGTTTAAAATCTAGGTCTTTGATTGATTTTTGAATGATTTTTTGCGCAAGCTGAGTGATATGAAATCTAATTTCCTTATTTTGCACTAGTTATTGAGTTTTACTGGCATTGTTTGTTGAAAGGGCTGTCTTTCCTCCAGCACATGATTCTGACGCTTTCATCAAAACTTAGGTTTCCATAGCCTGTGGATTTATCGCTGGCCTTCTGTTGTGTTCTCTTGGCCTATATGTCTGTTTTGTGCCAATAGCAGTTGTATACAGTATCTCTATAGTGTAATTTGAAGTCAGGTAATGTGATGTCTCTGCTTAGAATTGTTTTGACTCTGTTCTTTCATATTTCCTACACAATTTAGGATTGCTTTTCTGTCTCTATGAATAGTGGATCTCAACATGTAGCCCATCAAGGCCTTGCTCATTATATTCTCCCGTCTCAGCCTCCTGAACCTCCTGAATTCTGGACTTGTAGGCATGCACCACTGCACCTGGCCAGAGATACTTTTAAAGGGAATCTGTTACTGTTTACTAGCATAGTGCTAAAACATGGGTAAAAAATGTGGTGTGGAGTGAGGAACTGGGAAGCAGTACAGTAGAGAAATGCCGGCAATGGAGTTGGTGTGTGAAGTGTGCATGAAGCCTTTCACACTTGCTGAATAGTATCACAGATTGATTTCTAGAGAGGGGAGAGGGGAGAGGGAAGAGATATCTTAGAGTATACATTCAGGCAGAGGGAAGTTAGAGGAAAAGCAAGCCTGTCCAGATAAAGCAGAGGAAAGAAATTCTGCTGTCTGCGGCAGGGCTTAGGACATGCTGACAGAATTGTCTTTGAGCAGTTTAGTAAATGCTGTTTTGTGTGCATGCCAGCAAGATTTCCACAGAGCAACTGACACTTTCTCATTCTCTGGTTTAGTCCTCTAATGCATTTGTATGCTCATGTTATTTTCCGTGTCTGTACCTTGGGTTTTATATCTCTAAAATGGGAAAAAGAATACTTACAAATAATTTTTAGGGTTAAAAGGGACAACAAACAAAATACCTGGCTCATAATCAGGAAATGAAATAATGTTACTCATTTTATCCCTCTGTCCTGTCTTCCCTCCCTACAATTTGCCTCTTATATGGGAGGTAGCCAGAAAAGGCCAGACATCTATGGAGACATCTGCTTCAGTTTAGAAGTCATATATAGATCATCACATTAACCAAGCAGAAAGTTGGGCAACTGCACATCTACCCCCATGGTAAACTTTGCCCTGCCTGTTGTCAAGCCAGAGCCCATCAGCTTAGCACACACAGTAACTTTTAGCCTTCCATCAGTTCTGCCTCCAATATCTTTGGATATACAATCCAATCCTTGTGCCATCCCTTCTGCTGCTTCTCTCACACCCCCATCCTTTGGGCTGCTGGCAGAAGCAGCTGTGATCTAATGGTATCAGTTAATATAAGAACTGATTTGACTTGTCCAGAGTCATCCAGGCTTTCTCAGTCTGAGCTGCAACACTGCCAGATTTTATTTTATTTTTGCTCTTAAATCAGTTAGCAACAAGCTTATTTGGTACAGTTTTCTTAAAGCCTCTGGCCTTCAGCCTTGGCAGAACTGGGATGGGTTGGGTCATGGTAGAGGCCTATGGCCAAATCTCTGGTATAGTTGCGTCTTTAAAGGTTCCCCACCTATCACTTCACCTCTGCTTCCCTCCCTAGTTTCGCTGATGCTCATGGTAAATTCCTGGACACCAGAAGCGCTGTCAGTTAATCAGTTGCTACACATAGTTCCTCCCCTGAGCTGAAGCTGATGATTAACCACATGTGCTAACAAGCAACCTGAATGGCAGGCTTGGGGAGAAAGTTGTCTCTTCTGCTTACCCACTCTACATCAAACAGTTGTTATTCTTTTTCACTTTGTTGTTGAAGATGCATTGTGGTTTCCGTTATTCTAAATACGTCACTGTACTAACCTCTCAGCATCTTTATCCTTTTCACTGATCTAACATGTGAGTGGACTTTGTCATTTTCCACATCCTCCCTGAAATCAATTAGAAATAGCAGAAGCATGGTGCTTGTTAAATGACTTACTTCTGTGACAATCAACTGACTTTGCAATACCCACTATTGTTTCCTGACAGATTTTTTATTCAGGACCTTTTTCTATTCTAGACATGAGCCTGTAGGCTCTCTCTCTTATTTATTGTATGCTTTTATCGTTGGTAAGTGTGTGAGGTAGGTTTTACCCTACCCATATCAAAGAAAGAGTGGCTCAGACATAAAACAAATTGTCCAGAGTCCCTTGGGCTATACGATATAGAGATGTTGCTGGAAACTATATGTTTGAGATGCTTTATAATCAATTTTTAAGATTGTATGTATGTATCATATGTGTGTCTTGTGCCCATGGAAGTCAGAAACAGGTGTTTTGTCCCCTGGGACTGAAGTTAGAGATGGGTGTGAGCTACCATGTGAGTTTTGGAATATATATCTGACTCCTTCACAAGAATAGCAAGTTCTTTTAAACACATAACCATATCTCTAATTCCACAGTCTTTTGTTTTGTTTTTAACCTCAGCCACCACCTTCTTTTCTGTCAGACATTACTTTGGTTATACAAAATTAGCATGTTTGCTTTTGGCCATTTGATGTTGGTGTCTTTTAAATTAATTTTCTAGGTTAACATATGAAGTGATGGATGGTTCAGCTTGCCATCTTCAAGCATACTGTATTGCCACTTATTCCTCTCCTTCTCCATCCGTCCCTGTGCCTCCTCCAACTGGTTCTCTTTCTTCCCCCAGTTGTCCTCCCTTCTATATTCTTTCCTGTTATTTGTATTTCATCATTCTATCACCCACCTCCCTTAAGATCTCTTCCTCCACTTTCCCCACTTTCTGTTTTTGTGACTCTCCACATAGATAAATCCGCCCACGTGTCTATTAAAATCTAGGTTCTACATGTAAGAGAAAACATGTAGTGTTTCCTCAATGCTACCTTCTTTTTTTTCGTTCTGGCCTTACAAAATGTAAGTGTGTAGTTTCAACGAAAAGATTTGGGACTTTTTGGGCGAATGAAGAGGACAGAAGGCTATATGCCTTTTCTTATATTTGTACATTCTTTCAGATATCACCCTATGCAAAAGAAAGGCCAACACTAAAACCCATGATTCTGCCTTCCCATTGTTCATAGTGAGAATGTCCCATAGGCTTTCAGTTCCAGCCCAGTGTGAGTTATGTTCTTGGGTAATAGTGACAGCATTCCCTTAAGAGCAGGGGGTAAGAAGCCCTTCATTCTGCCTGAGGTATAGATATTAAAATAAGTAGCATGCCGCACACAGGGGGCACTGTGACATATGGGTTCAACAGCCTTGTTT